AGAGAGCGTGGTTTCACTCAGGAATTGCCCTCTCTTCCCCCTAAAAGGCCAAGAGGCAATCAAGTTGAGGCCCAGAGAGAAGGAGGTTCACATCAGTGGGAAAGAAAGAAGCTCTATTTTTTTTTGGAAATGGAGTTTCGCTCTCGTTGCCCAGGCTGGAGTGCAATGGCGCAATCTTGGCTCACTGCAACCTCTGCCTCCCAGGTTTAAGTGTTTCTTCTGCCTCAGCCTGGATAATTTTTTCTGTTTAGTAGAGACAGGGTTTCACCATGTTGGTCAGGCTGGTCTTGAACTCCTGACCTCAGGTGATCCTTCTACCTCAGCCTCCCAAAGTGCTGGGATTACAGGCATGAGCCACCACGCCTGACCAAGAACTCTTTTTTGAGTCACTTCTGATGTCTAGGCTCCATCATGGGAGACTCCCAGCTAAGCCCAAGGCTCATGGGCCCTGCTGTTGTCACAGCTGTAGGTGGCAAGGAGCTAGCTGTCACATCCTTTAGAGTCCCACACATGTAGGTTTCCTCTGTCTATACTTGGGCTTCTTGGAGGCTCCAGGTCTCATCGGGCACCATGGCTGATGCTCAATACGTGTGTGTTGAATTGATGTTAAATTCAGCCAGGTATAATGCCCAGAAAGACAAATACTAAATGCTCTCACTCCTACGTGGGGGCTCAGAAGGTGGATCTCACAGAGGGAATGAATGGAGTGGTGGCTACCAGAGGCTGGGAAGGGTGGGAGGGAGAGGGGATGGAGAGCTTGGTTCATGGGTATCTATACAGTTAGATAGAAGGAATAAGTTCTGGTGCTTAACAGCACACCAGGCGACTATAGTTATCAATAATGCATTGTGTATTTCACAATGCCTAGAATAGAAGATTTGGAATGTTCCCAACACAAAGGAATGATACATGTTTGAGATGATGGAAATCCCAATTACCCTGACACGATCATTGCACATTGTATACATGTATCAAAATATCACGTGGACCCCATAAGATAGATGATTATGTATCAAAAATTTTTAGCCAGGTATAGTATGGCAATTTCTTTAAAAATTAAACATAAAATCACAGCATAAGCCAAAAATTCCACTTCTGGGTATGTGCCCAAAAGAACTGAAAGCAGAGGCTTGAACAGACACTTGCATACCAATGTTCATAGCTGTATTATTCAAAATAGCAAAAAGATGGGATGACCCAAATGTTAATTGACAGATATGTAAACAAAATGCAATATGCCTATACATAAACCAGACATAAAATTCTAAGCCCCCCACCCAACTGAATGGACCCATCCTCTTGGCCAAAGGCATTCCAAAGTTAATCTGAGGCCAGGTGCAGTGGCTCACTCCTGTAATCCCAGCACTTTGGGAGGCTGAGGCTGGTAGATCACCTGAGATCAGGAGTTTGAGACACGCTTGGCCAACAAGGTGAAACCCCATCTCTACTAAAAATACAAAAATTAGCTGGGGGTGGGGGTGGGCACCTGTAATTCCAGCTACTTGGGAGGCTGAGACAGGAGATTGCTTGAACCTGGGAGGTGGAGGTTGCAGTGAGCCAAGATCTTGCCACTGCACTCCAGCCTGGGCAAAAGGGCAAGACTCTGTCTCAAAAAGAAGGAAAAAAAAAGTAAAAAGGCTGGGCGAGGTGGCTCACATCTGTAATCCCAGTATTTTGGGAGGCCAAGGCCAGCGGATCACCTGAAGTCAGGAGTTTGAGACTAGCTTGACCAACATGGAGAAACCCCATCCCTACTAAAAACACAAAATAAGCTGGGCATGGTGGCGCATGACTGTAATCCCAGCTACTCGGGAGGCTGAGGCAGAAGAGTCGTTTGAACCCAGAAGGAGGAGGTTGCAGTGAGCCAAGATAGCGCCATTGCACTCCAGCATGGGCAACAAGAGCAAAACTCCATCTCAAAAAAAAAAAAAGAAGTTTTTGTTTGGCAGTCTAGCCATGGGAATGGGACGGGAATAAGGGGTTAGGCGTGCCTCCTTATACCCTCCCCATTTTGAAGTTCAGGCATAACTGACCATATTAACATTAAAACAGAGACCTTAATAGAATTTATTCTCTCCGAAGCCTGCTACCTGGAGGCATCATCAGCATAATAAAAACCTTAGTCAGCCTGGCTGGTGGCTCACGCCTGTAATCCCAGCACTTTGGGAGGCCGAGGCGGGTGGATCACGAGGTCAAAAGATCAAGACCATCCTGGTCAAAAAGGTGAAACCCCGTCTCTACTAAAAATATAAAAAATTAGCTGGGCATGGTGGCGCGTGCCTGTAATCCCAGCTCCTCAGGAGGCTGAGGCAGGAGAATTGCCTGAACCCAGGAGGCAGAGGTTGCGGTGAGCCGAGATCCCGCCATTGCACTCCAGCCTGGGTAACAAGAGCGAAACTCCGTCTCAAAAAAGAAAAGAAAACCTTAGTCTCCACAACCCCTAATTTTAACCCACACCCTCCCTTCTATTGATTCTAGGTCTTTAGATAAACTCTTTCAACCAACTGCCACTCAGAAAATCTTTGAAGCCACCTATGACCTCGAAGCCTCCTGAGGCTGCGTCACAGGTAAGTTCTTAACCTTGGCAAAATGAAATTCTAAACTGATTGCGACATGTCTCAGATACTTACGGTTTACACATACAATAGAACGTCATTCAACTTTAAAAAGGAGAAAATTCAGACACATGCTACAACATGGCTGAACCTTAAGGACTTTGTGCTAAGTGAAATAAGCCAGTCACAAAAGAACAAATAGTAAATATGTAATTTCACTTATATGAGGTACCTAAAGTAGTCAGATTCATAGAGACAGAGAGTCAAAACAGTAATTGTCAGGGCCTGGGGGAGGACGGGATAGGGAGTTACTGTTTAATGGGTACAGAGTTTCCGCTTGGGAAGATGAAAAACGTTCTGGAGCTGTATGGTGGTGATGGTCTCACAACCGTGTTAATGCACTTAGTGCCACGAAACTATACACATAAACAAGATTAAGATGGTAAATGTTGCGATCGGGCACTGTGGCTCAAGCCTGTAATCCCCGCACTTTGGGAAGCCAAGGCAGGCAGATCACTGGAAGTCAGGAGTTTAACACCAGCCTGGCCAACATGGCAAAACCCCGTCTTTACTAAAATTACAGAATTAGCTGGGTGTGGTGCCTGTAATCTCAGCTACTAGGGAGGCTGAGGCAGGAGAAGCACTTGAACCCAGGAGGCGGAGGTTGCAGTGAGCAGAGATGGCGCCACTGCACTCCAGCCTGGCCGGCAGAGTAAGACTCCGTCTCAAAATAAAAAAACAAAAAAACAGGGTGACTATTGTGTTATGCGTATTTCACCACAATTGAAAGTAAGCATTGATTTTAATTAATTTTAGCCCGGTAACCTCTCAATATCACATTGTTTTGGTGCTGCTCTATGTAGATTGTTCAACACGATACAAAACATGAGTGGAAAAGATCAATCTTGCTGACATTTACTTGGGCTTAATTCAGGGCTGAAGGGCCTTGCTACTTTGGTCTTGTGCAAACTGCCACAGTCCACCTGCTGACTGGATGCCCTCACTGGAGGCAAAGCACCAGGATTTCTTCTAATGCCACCCGTCGTCCCAAGTGGGACGCTGGTGGCCTCGTGGTAAGCTGTGACAGGACTGCACACGGACCTCCGCCTGTTGGCTGGCATCACTGGCCCAGTGCTGTGAGGTGAAGGGACCCTTTGCTTTGACTCAGCTCAGTCTCCCAGTACAAACGGACCAGGTATGCTTGCTGTGCTTTTGAAAGGACCAGAAAAACCTGCTTCCTTCAGCCACTGGGAGCCGTGTATTCTCTTTGACTTTTGTTTGCAGCAGCAAAACAGACACCTGAGGAAAACAAACCAGAAAAGGAGGAATGGGAAGCTGGTGCTAGCTGGCAACCTTGAATCAGCACTCGGCAGGAGGTCCGTTCAGAGCAGAAGCCCTCACCCCGCACTTTCCTCACCCAGCCCTGAAATCACAAACAACCCCTTGGCCAGGGTCCTAATGAGCTTTTGACAAGCACAGCCTGCCCTTCTGACACAGAAAACACAATTAGATATGCACAAGTGGCCTGTGAAATGCCAGGGTGGACACTTGAGCTCTCCACAAATGCCACCCCCTGCACCCTGGGCCTTCTCAGGAAAACATTGCTTGGGCTCGTTACGGGTGGTAATGGCCAATAACACAGAGAGAACACTGTGTTTTGTTTCAAGCCTTTGGCCAGAGCAGTGAGAGAGGGATGTGTGTGTGTGTGTGTGTGTGTGTGTGCGCGCGCGCACGTGTGTTTAGTGATGGTATTGGGCTGACATCCATTTTCATTTTTTCCATCATAAAGGAATTGAAGTCCTACAGCGTGTCAGCAACGTCGACGTTTCAGGGTGAAAGAAAAAAGTAAAACGTGTTAGTGTTCGGAAGAGCTCCAGCAGTCTGTGATGTCAGGAAAGTCACCAGCTCCTGGGGCCTCGGTCTTCTCATCTGTAAAATGAGGATAATAATAGAAACCACCTTCCGCTCTTTGTGATCAAGTGAGCTGTCGCAGGTAAAGCACTCAGCCCCAGGCCTGGAATAGTCGGGACTCGTGAAACATTGGCTATTAGTTTAAAAACAAGTCTTATGCATTTTAGTCCATTTAAGGAGCCGCTTTTGAATATCTGCTTGTAAACTCCCATATGAAGCTGGCTGTGAAACCACAAAAAACACAGTCTTTACGCTCACAGAGCTTGAGGACAACCAGGGTGACAAGAAAACCATCCAGGCAGGGCCAGCTCAATGCAGGTGCGTTTGGCACCAACCTGGAGACAGCCATGGCTTGCTTCAGCTCCGTTTGTTTCTTCCAATTTTTGTTAGCTTGTCTCCTTCAGTGGTGAAGGAAGGGCAGTTTCTGCAGGCTACAGACAGCAGGATATGGATCACTGGTCTGGTCAGGCTTTAATCAAGTGAAATCTGCTCATTTGTTTGTTACTGCTTCAAAAGCACATGATTTTCAAGGGATAAGTCGTCAGGATGTTTTTAATTATGATGATGAAATTCCAGCTGAAGTTAACTTAAGCAAAAATAAACAAGCAGAAACAACGGTGTTTACTTTCTTACATAATTTCAGAGAAGAAAGATGGGTGTCTTGACAGCTTCAGTCATAGCTGGGCCCAGGTGGCCAAATCTCTCTTTCTCTTCTTTCTTCATTGTCTGATAGCTTCAGGCATACACAGTAAACCCTCAGCTCAGGATTTCAGAGTCAGAGAGAACCTCCTCTTGGACCAACAACTCTAGGTAGGGAAATGGGGCACCACAGCTGGCCAGACATGACCCCAAAGCCAGGGGATAGGTTGACCAGCAGCTCCACAGGCCCCACATGGGGCAGGAGGGACACAAGGCTGACAAACTCTATCAGTGAGCCTCTGGGGATAGAAAGCATGAGTATGTGCCAAGCATTCCAGGTAAGAGTGAATGCAGCCTTCCTCCTTGCATCTCACCCAGCTGTGCTTAAAATGGCTTGTCTGGCACCTTTGAGGGGTCAGCCTACTTCCTTGCATTCAAAAAGTGAAGAGTTTCTAACTCTTTGTTCTTGAATCAAACCCAGTGAATGAAGACTAAGCGTTCCAGATGGGCCAACCATGCAGCAATATGATGGCAGTTCTGAGATGCTGCCCAGTGAGCCCCAGTAGTCACATTCTGGGGAGTCCCCTCTCACTGAGTAGGACCCATCTGGCAACCAGTAGGATTGCAGAAATGATGTCCAAGGCTAGGTCATAAAAGACGTGGTTCCTGCCTTGCTCTCCTTGAATCACTCATTCGGAAACAGTCAGCTGCCATGTTGTAAGGACACTCAAACAGGTCTGTGGAGGAGTCCACGTGCTGGGAAACTGAGGCCTCCCACCGACAACCAGCACCAACCTGCCAGGCATGTGGGTGCACCAGCTCAGAGGTAAATCCTCCAGCCACAGTTGAGCCTCTAATGACACAGCCCCAGGTGACACCCTGACTGCAACCCCATGCAATTCCTGAGCCAGAACCACCCAGCTAAGCCACTCCTGAATTCCTGACCCACAGAAACTATGAAATAATAAATGTTCATTGTTGTTTGAAGCCACTAAGTTTTGGGGTCATTTGTTACACAGCAGTAGAAATCAGACACAGGCATACTATGATCCCTTCCTCCCTTCCCAGGGACAGAGTCACTTTGGAAAGCTTCCTTGGATCATTTTCAAAGCACGTAGCAATAGTTCTCTAAGTTCTTGTTACAAAGTTTCAGTTTTGCAAATGGACTGACACTGATATCACAGGCTGCTCCGAACCTCAACAGAGAGTTTGCCAATGAAAGAAAATCAGGTTTACACTGCATTTACTTCCCTCTCCTGTAGTAGGTATGGAGGTAGTCAAAATTCTAACAGGAAGGATGCCTTCAAAGATCTGCCAGTCTCCCTCCTTGTTACTGCAAGTGGCGTGTGGTATCACACACTATCACAATTCTGCAGAGTCACTGATAACATGTGGCAGGAGGCCCCTGGGTTCTGAAGCCCCATGAAGTCCTCCAGGTGGTCTTCTGGCTGAAGTAGCATCTCCCTAGGAGATGAGCTAGAATTCAAGCAAGGTCTGATCCCAGCCTGCTTGCATCAAGGGAGGACTCAGGGAAAAGGTGGATCTTGAGCACACCCTTCCATACCCCTCTCCCCTGGGGTGACTGGGACATACTCCACACATCACCCACCAGGGTCCCCTGCTGTTCCAAAGCGGTTTCCTTTCCCCTCCTGCACAACCTCAGTCATGTAGATTTCAACACCTGGGCCCCTTCCACAGAAAGCTTCGCGCTGGGTGCCTTTCTGGTTCTGTGTCATTGCTGGCATGTGCTCCTTCTCCCTCCTAGGATCCAGATGTTATTATTCTGCAGGAGCTCAAAGTACTCCATCTCCTTGCCCTCTCATCATTGAACTCCAATCCTGGAAAGAAAGCCACACAAGCTAGTTCTCCTCAGTGTACCAGCCAGGACTCTACAAGTGACAGAAGGCCCTATGCTCAGGCTCCAGCCCAGCCTCAGGCCTCTGCCTCCTGCTCCGGCTCTGGCTTCCTCTGCATGTGGGATTTATATGGGTTGGTCCCCAGCGGCCGTGTGAGGCAAGGCAGGGCAGGGCAACATGACCCACAACACCCCAGAGCCACGCGGTCTTGGGGACAGGCACCTTCCCAAAGGGCTGGGGAGACTCACTGGAAGCCCAGCAGTGGTTCACATCTATCAGACACACCCTCGATGATCACTTGCCATATCAGGCCCCACCCGCCTCTGCAGAGGAATTTTAGGCTCCTCAAGGTCAGGGTCTACTTTACTCCTCCTAGCAGAGAGTAAATAGAAATGGTCCCCTCATCCTGCCCGTTTGCATACCCTCTGTGACAAGACGCTCACTAGTTCCAGAAGTAATTCCTTGTGTGGAGTTGGTCTCTGCCCCTCTGTGACTGCCACCATTGGGCTGATTCTGCCTAATAGCAAAGAACACTGCTCACCAATTGCCACGTTTCTTCCCTCCTTTTCTTCCCTTTTGCCCATGAGCCACCAATGGATGAAATGGACCCATGGGCAGTGTCTGTGGATGACGCTATGTCTGTCCTTTCACAGGGCATGGGGCTCCACCACCCTGAATCAGGCACACGCCTACTTTGGGGAAAGTCCTGCATCTCATTTTCTCTTGCCTAAAATAGCTACTTCCTCTTTGGGGGAGGCAGGGTGGTGGGGAGCAATGAAGGGATGAGGTAAGTCATCCACAGATGCCTGGTTTGGAATCCTTCCTGGAAAAGTCAGCGTTTGCATCAGCCAAACGGGAGGCAAGGCACTTCCAGCTGCTCATTAACCAAAGCAAACAGAGTGGTGGGGAAAGTCAAAGCCACAGCCAACTACAAGCGAACACGTCAAGTATCCTCTGCGGAGCTGACTTTCTTCTAAAGGAATGTGTAGTTGTTTACAGATAACATCAAATCTATTTCACGTCAGATCAGGATGACGGACAGCCAGAGGCTGCTGGGGTCACATTAAATGGCACTTTTATGGTAACAAATTGTTTCCTTTTCATGGTTGCAGGAGCAATCTCAAGTTTTATTTTGAGGTGTCAACTGCCCTCAGGGACATCTTCCGCAGGTGGGATCTCGGGTCCTGGCCACCCTAAGTGAGAAGACAGACCCTGGCTGAGTCACTCAGCTGTGGTGGCATCACCCCATCCCTGCCCTGCTCCTCAGCCCCATGCAGGCCGGCAGGGGAGCCCTCCTCTCCCCAACAGGGTCTCTCTTTCTTCCTTTCACACTGTCCATTGGTAAGAGTGGCTTGCATTTGCCACAGCGCTAAGAGCTCTCAGTCTTCACAGCTGAGGAAATGACATGATTTGTTGGGAGCCACTTAAAATAACCAGTTCTCCAGCTGGTCTCGCTGTTCCTGTGCTGGCGGCCCTTCTGATGCGGGGCCTGGCTAGAGAGAGGTGGGCCTCATGTGCCTTCACCTGGGCCATCCCTACCATGTGGTGAGGTTGGGTTACATCCAGCCAGGAGGCAGCTTGCAGGACCGTGTGGCTTGTCTGAGGACCCAAGGGGAACTTATCAGAGGGCTAAAGAGACAGACAGGGGCTAAGTGGTGGTATGTGAGAGGAAGGGGCTAGGAGAGTGTAGATGCTTTCTGAAAGGTCACAGATTCTATTGGAATTCCCAGCCAAACTTCAGGATTGGGAAGCACCCTTCTTAGGAGCAGGCTAGGGCTCAGGCCAGCTTGGCTCATCCCTGGCCTACAGGCCTTGCTCCTGAGCACAGGGCAGGGACTGCCAGCCCTAGTTCAGAATGGTCTGAAAGCTGCCTGGAGAGAACGGGCCTCTGGATCAGGATCACCAGGGTGGGACCTGGATTATCCCATAGTCACCAGACGTGTTGCTCAGAGGGAGGTTCCTGGCCAGCAGCTCTGTTAGCATCACCTAGGAGCTTGTAGCAAATGCAGAATCTTGAGCTCTGCCCAGATCTACTCCATCAGAATCTCCATGGTAAATGTTCCCCGCTGACCCGGGCACTGGGGTTTGAGGACCGCGGCCCTGCCAAATCTGAAATCCAGAGCTAGGCCTAAGTACACCTGTGGAATCAGAATGCGGAATTTAAGTTAAATGCAGAAGCATCCTTTGAGCAAAGGTGGTGGAGTGGGCTGAACTATGACCCTCTCAGAAGATGTCCATGTCTCAGAAACACAGAATGTGATCTTACTTGGAAACAGGGTCTTTGCAGATATGATTAAAAATCTTGAGGTGAAATCATCCTGAAGTAGCCAAGGGGGTCCTAAATCCAATGGCAAGTGTCCTTGTCGGAGAAGAGGAGAAGACACAGAGACACAGGCAAGAAGACCACGTGAAGACAGAGACAGAGATTGGAGTGATGGGGCCACAAGACAAGAAACACCTGGAGCCACCAGACGCTGGGGAGGGAGGATCCTCCCCTCAAGCTTCAGAGTGCACACCCCTGCAGAAACCTTGCCTTTGGACTTCTGGCCTCCAGAACAGTGAGACAATACATTTGTGGTATTATAAGTCAGCAAGTTCGTGGTAATGATCACAGCAACCACAGGAAACTAAAATAGGTGGTCTTTTCAGACTCTGCAGAGGAAAGAAAAGCATAGCCAAAGTGACCTAAGAAAGAGGTGATGACCCCACCAGTCCCCAGTCACAGCAATCTTAGCTTTGTTCCCAGAATTAGCTGACTTCCTCCACCCAATTTCCTTATTCCTTTTTAATGCTCCACAAAACCCAAGGACAGTCAAGACCTAGGGCACCTGGCCCTGCATGGCTGGCTGACCACCAGACCGTCAAAAGTTGCCATAACAGCTCCTTCATGTTCCCAAACATGACCATGTTATTTACTCCTAACTCCACCTTGTTTGAAAATTATTTAAAGCAGTTTCGATGGATTGAAATTGAGTCATATTTTAACTGCTTAAATACCTCTTAAAAACAGACTTTATGAGCTCACTTGGCCCAAGAAACAAAAAAAGAAATAAAAGAAAAAAGAATAAAAATAGATGTCAACTAGTCCTTTGGCAAATAACCCCACAATGGCTTCATTTTCCTGGTTTAGATGGTGCTAGATGAGGTTGATTTAAAATGAGGTAACCCAGTACTAGATTCGAATGAACAGAACCTCTGAAGGCTCCAGGGGCTATTGGATAGCAGGATCGTTTCCCTTTTAGAAAGTTTTCAGGATTCAAAGATAAAGATTCAGGGCAGAGCTTCTCAACTCCGACTCACACTAGAATCACTTGGGGAGATTAAAAAGAACAGCCACATTCCAGACTCTCCCCAGATAAGGTGAATCAGAATCTGGGTGGGTAGAGAGCCCACCCTGGGGCTCCATGGAAGCCCCTAGCCAGACCCTGCACCCAGCTCCTCACTGCCCCCCACATGCCACATGGTGTAGCACGGTCATGTGCCCAGGGCTGGCCAATCAGATGTGCTCACGCTGGGCTCAGCTGTGAAGGGGCAGACACCATCTGAGATCCATTCTGCCATGTGTGGTCAGAGCTCCCAGGCAGTGCCGGGTGGACAGTGGTGGGATAAGCTGTGGGCCTGCACCCGGTCGTACAGATGAGGACACAGCTCAGAAACACAGAATGTGACCTTATTTGGAAACAGGGTCTTTGCAGATATAATTAAAAATCTTATTGTCTGAGGACCCAAGGGGGAACTTACCAGAGGGCTAGAGAGACAGGGGCTAAGCAGTGGTATGTGAGAGGAAGGGGCTAGGAGAGTGTAGATGCTTTCTGAAAGGTCACGGATGCTGCTGCAGGTCAGAGACCTCCCAGAGGGACTGGGAGGCTTGCCCAGAGTCCCACAGTTAAGGACTGGCAGAGCTGAGATTTGAACCCAGCCCTCTGGCTACACCACCTGCCACTTTTCCTCCCTTGAACCAGTTCCATGCCTTAATGAGGGGCAGTGTTCTGTACTCTGGCTTTCAGGCCTAGCTCTCCAACTCTCCCAGCACATCCATGAGCAACCAGACATGCCTTCTGCATTCTTTCAAAGTTAACTTTGTTACTGAGGTATCAGATACATGCAGAAAAAATCACAGATCCTAAGAGTGCAGCTCAATGAATTTTGACAAAGCAAACAGTCATGTAATCAGAACCCAGACCAAGAAACAGAACAGGGCCAGCACCCTACAGACTCTCCCAGGGTCTCTCCTCTTATTACCCCCACTTTACAGAGGTGAAAACTGAAATTCAGAGAGAGGTTCAGCCACAGGCCAGGCACAGCTGTGGCCTTAGTTAGAAAGCCATGTAACTAAAGAGTAGCAGAGCCAGATTTGATCAGAGCTGCCCTCTTAACCACTAGTTAAGGGACACAAGTGCATCTCCGTCCTTTGGACCTGCCTCATGCTGTAGTGGTTTAACAAGTAATACCCACCTTCTTGATGGAAATGGCTGGGGCAGGGGACTGAGCTGCACTGATGGTGCCATCCTGGGCAGGGTTTGGGATGTCGCTGGCGCACAGGAGCCATGAGAAGAGGATTGGTCCCTTCCGAGAGCAATGAGGGAGAGGGAAGCCTCCTGGATTGCCAGCGTGCCTGGCATCAGCCCTTCCACAGGGAAGGTTCCTTTGGGAGGAGAGGGCAGGCTCCTTGGCTGGGCAGAGGTAATCTGGGCATTGCTGAAGCGGCCAGTGGAGACGGGATCCCAGCCTTGAGATTCACCCTCTGCCTCCCACTGGAATCCTAAGTATGAAAATGATGCTTCTGACTGACCGTCTGGCAGCCCTGGTGAGGAACTGTCCCCACCCACTCACTGCTGCAAATAGCACGGTGGCATATGGTGGCAGAAGGAAGTTCTTCTGCAGAATGGCCCATGTGGTAGGGTGCTGCATGACACATTGGAGTGGGGATCGTTTCCTTGCAGCGGAGGAGTGGGTCAGAGGCCAGGGTTGTCACATGGGAGTCCCTCCTGGGGATGAGCCCCTGCCAGATCCCTCTGTAAACAGCATTTGAATGAGATTCACTGCTCCGGAAACTGGGGATCAGGGTCCCTGAAGCCAAGGAGCAGGCATGGGAAAGGCGAGAGGCACTGGCAGCATGTTTGACAGGATGCGTGAATCTTGCTAAATGAGAAAAAGCCAAGCTGGCGAGTATGGGCAAGTTAGACCTTCCTGGGTTATCCCCTGCAGGGGGCTACTCAGCGTGGTCTCTGACCTGCAGCAGCATCTAGGAACTTGTTAGACACACAGGTGACCAGAAGTTCTTTGGGGGGCCCAGCACTCTGGGTTTTTGATATGGCAAGGAGATTCTGACACATGCTCAGGTTTGAAAGCCACCGGCACAGTGCAGTATGAAGTGAGTATTATCATCAGTCCCATCTCACAGCTGAGGAAACAGAAGATCTGAGCCAGTTTTACCCCAAGTTACACAGTCAACAGGAAAGCCTTAACAAAATGAGGTGTAGCTGTGAATAACATAAATAGGAATCCAGAGCACCATGAACTAAACAAAATCTTTTCATTTTCCTTCATGGTCCATGATAGCTGCTGAAGCTCCAGCCATCGTGCCATTGTGTCCATGTTCTAGGCAACAAAAAAGAAAGGAAAGGGCCAGGTGTGGTGGCTAACGCCTGTAATCCTAGCATCTTGGGAGGCTGAGGCAGGTGTATCATTTGAGGTCAGGAGTTCAAGACCAGCCTGGCCAACACGGTGAAACTCCATCTCTACAAAAAATACAAAATTAGCCGAGCAAGGTGGCATGCACCTATACTGCCAGCTACTCAGGAGGCTGAGGCAGGAGAATCGCTTGAACCCGGGAGAGGCAGATTGCAGTGAGCTGAGATCACACCACTGCATTCCAGCCTCCACGACAGAGTGAGACTCTGTCTCAAAACAAAAACAAAAACAAGGAAACAAGTAAAAGGAGGAAGGTCCCGCCCTGTCTCTTTAGCAGCACTTCCTAACACTGTATATATGGCTTCAGCTTACATTTCATTGGCCAGAATTTAGTCAGTTGCTTCACCTAGCAGCAAGAGTGGCTGGGAGAACGAAGTCTGGGTTCCGAGTGACCACGCAACACAGGCAGAACTTGGGGTTCTAGAAGAACCTCAATATTGGGGGATATAGAAGAACCTCAATATTGGGGGATAACTAGGCAGTCTCTGCCACAAGTGTGTATCCAGGAATCAACCCAGAGCTGCTAATTTCACCATCCGAAGTTATGTTTTTGTGTGAACATTGTCTTTATCTTCCCCTTTTAGAAGTCCCACCGAAAGCAAGCCTTCTTAGAAGTCTTCTCCCTTCCTGCTGTATTCCCAGTGCCTAGAACAATGCCTGGCTTATAGTGGTGATCTTTGTTTGCTATTGAAATATAAAACTTTAAATATTAAATTAAATACCTCCTGTAAGAGAAGTTTGTTCAGGGTCTGGCACATAGAAAGTACTCAGAATGTGGTTGCTGTTATGTATGTAACACAGTGCTTCCCAGGGAAGCCCAGCTGGCCCCCGGCAAGGTTTACCTCTTAGACCCTCAGTTCCACTGCCACCCTCTGCCTGCATGCAGAGACTTGCACACAAACCCTAGTTCTTGACCTGAGCCCTTCACTGGGCTTTAAGAATAATCAGTGCTGGTTGGGCACAGTGGCTCACTCTGTAATCTCAGCACTCTGGAAGGCTGAGGTGGGTGGATCACTTGAGGTCAGGAGTTCGAGACCATCCTGGGCAACATGGTGAAACCCTGTCTCCACCAAAAAAAAAAAAATAATAACAAATTAGCCAAGCGTGGTGGCACATGCCTGTAGTCCCCAGCTACTTAGGAGCCTGAGGCAAGAGAATCACTTGAGCCCAAGAGGCAGAGGTTGCAGTGAGCCAAGATGGCGCCACTGCACTCCAGCCTGGGCGACAGATCAAGATTCTGGCTCAAAAAAATAAAAAGAAGAACCAGCACTGTTTGATGGGGTCTGGAGAATGTAAGCCACAGCCCAGGCAAGCACTGATTGGGAGAGAAAATTCATATCGCTGTGTCTTCTATGAGCCTGGAAATAGGCCTTAAGAACAAAGCTGGGTTTAGGCTGCCGGGATGGGATGTCTATCCTGGTGTTTGTCGTTTGAGCTTCTCCTTTGTAGGTGCTGCCTCCATGGGTTCCAGGGACTTGGTGCCCATACTAACGGCCTGTTGGGTGCCCATCCCTTGTTCCAGTGTTCAGGTTTGCAGTGGCCCTGTTTTGCTTAACTGGGTCAGGCTGGATGGACCCAGGAGGGCTGTTTGCATCGGCTGCTTTTCCCTGTCCAATGCTGCATGCTAATGCAGGCTCCGAAATCCAGTTTAACATAGATCTTGACATTTGAACCAAGGCAGGTGCACCTTATTCAAATCCGAATGGTCTATTGCTGAACTGGGAAACAATAGCTGATGGTGTGTTGTTCAGTTGCAACTGTCCTAATTACAGATAAACACTAATTTCACAGGATTTTTTTCCAGTGGAGCAAATCTTTAGAAAGAAGTGTCCTCATTTAAAAACTACAGATCAAGAGGGCTGTGAGGGTTTGTTTCATTTGCTGATAATGTGGACTGCGTCAATTCCTGAATCTCACTTGTTCGACCTCCCAGGGCTATTGTGAGGAGCAAATTGAAAATAAGGTAATGTTTGTGGAGGTCCCTGATAAAGAGCAAAGCAATCAACACCCACGGTAAATGTTGTGCATTCAACATCCTGCACCTTGCAGCTTCGTCCCACTGGCAATGACCTCTTAGCTGTGAGTTCCAGGCCCTCTCCCCTCACTCCACGGGCCACTCCCCATGGGTCCCTCACCACCATCTTCCAATTTCCTTGAATGTAACTTCTCAACATTTGGGCTGAGGCTCAAATGTCACCTGGGTGAGGAAAGGTGTCCAGTCAGTAGTTGCATGGTGCTCTGCCCTGTGTCTTTCTGAGTTCTTAGTACCAAAAATGATCTGATGTGTTAGTTGACTTGCATTTCTTTCTCTTCTCCACAGGAGCACAAGTTTCATGAGGGAAAAGACCTTGTCTGTCTTGTTCACACCGGCATCTCCTGTGGCCAGAACAATGTCTTGCACCTGGTAGGCATGGATATATGTTGACTAGGAGTTTGGCTTGGGGAGCAAAGGAGAAAGTGAACTGTTAAGAAATCGGGGCATTTAGCATTATCTAAGAAACTGAAGCAGTACCTGCAGTCCCTGGGGTCCCCGAGTACCCGGAGCAGGTGTGTGGAGTGGTACCCGGGGTCCCTGGAATCTCTAAGTACCTGGAGCAGGTGTGTGGAGTGGTACCCAGGGTCCCTGGAATCTCTAAGTTCCTGGAGCAGGTGTGTGGAGTAGTACCCGGAGTCCCTGGAATCTCTAAGTACCCGGGGCAAGTGTGTGGAGTGGTACCCGGGGTCCCAGGATTCCTAAGTACCTGGGGCAAGTGTGTGGAGTGGTACCCGGGGTCCCAGTATTCCTAAGTACCTGGAGCAGTTGTGTGGAGTGGTACCCGGTGTCCCTGGAATCTCTAAGTACCTAGAGCAGGTGTGTGGAGTGGTACCCGGGGTCCCTGGAATCTCTAAGTACCTGGGGCAGGTGTGTGGAGTGGTACCCGGGGTCCCTGGAATCTCTAAGTACCTGGGGCAGGTGTGTGGAGTGGTACCCGGTGTCCCTGGAATCACTAAGTACCTGGAGCAGGTGTGTGGAGTGGTACCTGGAGTCCCTGGAATCTCTAAATACCCGGAGCAGGTGTGTGGAATGGTACCCGGTGTCCCTGGAATCTCTAAGTACCCGGAGCAGGTGTGTGGAGTGGTACCCGGAGTCCCTGGAATCTCTAAGTACCCGGAGCAGGTGTGTGGAGTGGTACCCGGAGTCCCTGGAATCTCTAAGTACCCGGAGCAGGTGTGTGGAGTGGTACCCGGTGTCCCTGGAATCTCTTAGTACCCGGAGCAGGTGTGTGGAGTGGTACCCGGGGTCCCTGGAATCTCTAAGTACCTGGAGCAGGTGTGTGGAGTGGTACCCAGGGTCCCTGGAATCTCTAAGTACCTGGAGCAGGTGTGTGGAGTGGTACCCGGAGTCCCTGGAATCTCTAAGTACCTGGAGCAGGTGTGTGGAGTGGTACCCGGAGTCCCTGGAATCTCTAAGTACCTGGAGCAGGTGTGTGGAGTGGTACCTGGAGTCCCTGGAATCCCTACGTACCTGGAGCAGGTGTGTGGAGTGGTACCCGGGGTCTCTGGAATCTCTAAGTACCCGGAGCAGGTGTGTGGAGTGGTACCCAGGGTCTCTGGAATCTCTAAGTACCCGGAGCAGGTGTGTGGAGTGGTACCCGAGGTCCCTGGAATCTCTAAGAACCCGGAGCAGGTGTGTGGAGTGGTACCCGAGGTCCCTGGAATCTCTAAGAACCTGGAGCAGGTGTGTGGAGTGGTACCCGGGGTCCCTGGAATCTCTAAGTTCCTGGAGCAGGTGTGTGGAGTGGTACCCGGGGTCCCTGGAATCTCTAAGTACCTGAAGCAGGTGTGTAGAGTGGTACCTGGTGTCCCTGGAATCTCTAAGTTCCTGGAGCAGGTGTGTGGAGTGGTACCCGGGGTCCCAGGATTTCTAATTACCTAGGGCAGGTGTTATGTGAGGGATTTTGATATCCAGAAGTGTACAGATTAATAGAATAATTTGCAGTATTCAAATAAGTGCCACTAATGTATACGGTGGCAGGTGGCAGGAGCAGGAGGTTATAAGTACAGGAGGCGCTGGAGAAGACACACTTGTGGACAC